TGCACCTGCTGACAACACGTGGAAAGAACCCACAGCTTTTCTAGAGGCACACAAATGAATGACTTTTTCTACAAAGTGCTTCAATTTACTATGTAGTGAAGTTGACCTGTCATAACTTATAAGGTGAAAAGTGCTACTTGTTCTGCCTTATGGACCAAAGCACTGATATGAACTGGAATGTCCAAAGGGTAAACATAGAAAACGACTAAAATGTTTAGACAAACTAAACATACATATGTATGTACACATATATATCATGATATATATAGTATATATCTACACATATATGTGATGTATATGTACACACATACATAAATTTTCATATATATTTCAATTTGTTGTTATGAATGTATAGAATTATTTTTATGCATTTTTATTGCTACAATTAATATTATTTGTAGATGAAAATGAAGGTAATAATGTCTTTCATTTTGGTCAAAATAGAGTCTGAACTTTACCTGATTTCTTTACTGTATATATTAACAGCTTTTCAACAGATGCTTCAGCTTCTCCATAGTCTTTTCCTTGACTAACAGTTTTCACTATTACTATTTTCAAAGTACAGAGTATCTGTATTTTCTTCCCAGCACATCCTCTTTTTTTCTTCCCTTTGAGTACTGTGTTGGATATTAGAGCAGCAAGTGTGGAAATGGAAAATTACACTGTGTCTAAGAATTAGTAAGGGTTATCCTCTTTCGTTGTTTTATATACTTCATGCCAAATCATAATGCCATTTTATAGTTTTATCATGAGCAAATATATTCTGAGCTTTTTATCCAACAATTATCTAACAATTCTCTAACTTTTCTTTCCTCCTCTGTCTTCTAAACCTACTCTTTTAAGATTCATACTCACACACACTAGTTTCATGACAATCAGATGAACAAGTACCCGCTCTTAACCTTAAGAATACTCTCTAGGTACTTAAGAATACATTTACATATCGTTAACTGGATCAAAACAATGGGTTGAAGCCATAACCTACTATATAAACCAAGACCCTGAAATCTTTATGTCCTCTGGGGTCATCTGGATAGAGTGAATTACATCTTAAGCTACAGGTTATAAAAAGAAATCCAAAGCCTTCTCACCAGCAATAAAGGGAAGGAATTTCTATAGTAACTTCACTCAATTGATTCCTGCTTCCAAGAACGAAAGAGGAATAATATGATCCCATAACCTTCCTCCAATCTAAGCGGACAGAAGTTTATTAGCTACTACTGTGTGCCATTATCCTTCTTTCCATTCAGACCATCTTGAAAATACACATTTAGTTATGGACTGTGAAATCTGTATGTTCACAAAGCCAAAAAATGAAGTTGAAGTGTACGCTTAGCAGTCTAAATCTTGCCCACAAAAGAAGCTTAGACACTTCCCTGAAAAGAAAGGTAGCCTAATTTTCTCACAGAAGCATTTATATTGTTTGCTTTGGAATGATAAGCTCAGTGTCATTTGTTTGTTCAGCTCCTTCTTTTTTTTTTCTTCTTTTTTTTTTCTTCTTTTGATCACATTTTCTTTTTTTGTTTGTTTTTGTATATAACGTTTACATTCAGCCTACCACTAATTCCTTATTTCTTCCTTCCCTCTTCTTCCTCTGCACAGCTCCTTCCTTCTTTTCATTTTCTGAATTCATCATTCAAAATATAATTTTATATTCCCTCTCCCCTTTTTGTTCTTTCAGTTACTTTCTACTGTAGCTATAAAAGTTTTATTTTGGTCTTTCTCTTTCTGTTACCAATTTGCAAACAGATGGGAGAAGGGAACTAGCAACAGACAGTGCTGCAGTGAGCCCCTGTCTTCTCCTCCCCTTAGCAGCAATCTGAGAAAGGAGGAGTGGAAATGGATACCGGCTCGGTGAAGTGGGCATCCCCCATCCTGACCATCCTTGGCTCCCCACGTGCCTCTGCACAATAGGTTTGAGGCCCTGGAAGTTGATGGAGAGGTGAGTGAGGGTGTGGAGGGAGGTCCACCCATGAGTTTGCCTTGGGCGTAGAGGTTGACCCCACACCTCAAGACTGCCTCCACCCAGAAGGACAGAAGGGTGGTTGTCACAGGCAACTGCTGAAAGGAACAGAAGGCCCTGTATATCAGCTTGACTCTACCCACAGGGAGGTGTGCTGCCTCCCTGGGGCACGGATCAGGGACATTTCTAGGAAACTTGCTGGACTGATTCACCCTTCTGATTATTAGCCCTTATTGATAGTTCAGGCTGGCAGTGACAAAATTGCTGAGAAAAGCCTCAAGGGATGGGAGAAAGAGACAGAGGGCTGCTGGGGTTGAGCCGGTCCTTCGAGGGCTTGCACCAAATTTGATGGGTGAAGACAATGGATACAAAGGGATGGACTGGGGCAGGGGGATGCTGGGGATGCTGCTGTTCTAGGGGAACCTAGATCCTCTATGAGGGCAGAGAGATGGAAAGCCGAGATGGAGTGCCTTTATACCCATGCACACAACCTGGTAAATAAGTAGGACAAGTTGGAAACTGTGATGTGCTTGGAAAGTTATAACCTTGTTGCTATCATGGAAGCATGGTGGGATGACTCCCATAACTAGAACACCACCATTGAGGGATATCGGCTCTTTAGAAGGGATGGGCGAGGTAGGAAGGATGGGGGAGTTACCCTCTATGTCAAAGAGTGGATAGACTGGGAGGAGCTCCCTCTGAGAAACAGTCAGGAACAGGTTGAGAATCTGTGGGTTAGAATTAGGGACGGGACTAACAAAGGCCAGCTGGTAATAGATGTATACTACAGGCAACCTGATCAATGGAAGACTGTTACAAAGCCATCTTGCTTCAGATTCAGGGGGAGTCGTGTTCATGGGCTCTCATCCTGGTGGGGGACTTACACCATCCAGATATCTGCTGGAAAGACCACACAGCGAGCTGCAAGAGGTCCAGAAGGCTCCTGGAATCCATTGATGATAACTTTCTGGTCCAGGTATTGGACAGACCGACCAGAGGTGAAGCATTGCTGGACCTGTTGCTCATCAATGTAGAGGAGATCTTTAAAGGCGTTAAGGTTGGAGGCAGCCTGGGCTGCAGTCTCCATGTCCTGATCGAGTTCGTGATCTTGAGGGATGTGTGCCTAGCAAAGAGTGGCGTCAGGACCCTGAATTTTGGAAGAGCAAACTTTAAGCAGTTCAATGGACTGTTGGCCAAGATCCCCTGGGACGCTGTCTTTAAAAACAAAGATGTTGAGGAGCTCTGTTAAGCTCTGGAAACAACGGCATGTCACCTGGGAAGAATACAGGGATGCCATCCAGACTTGCAAACGTGACATCAGGAAAGCCAAGGTGCAGGCAGAACTGAACTTGGTGAGGGATGTGAAAAACTATAGGAAGACATTGTACAGGTATATTAGCCAGAAGAGATAAGCAAAGCGAGTGTACCTGAGTGTACCTCCTTTAGTAAATGTAAAAGGAGAACGGGCTTCAATGGACGAAGAGAAGGCTGAGGTACTGAATGAGTTCTTTGCCTCCGTCTTCGCTAGCAGCCAGGATTCTAGTATTTCTCACTTCCCCGAGCCTGGCATGGTCCCTAAATCTCTAGGTGGTAAATCCCCCCCCCAGTGTAAAGGCAGAGCAAGTCCGAGACTGCCTCATTAGACTGAACATGTACAAGGTCTATGGGGCTGGATGGCATCCACCCCAGGGTTCTGAAGGAGCTGGATGAGGTGGTTGCAGAGTCACTCTCCATCATGTGTGAGAAGTCGTGGCTGTCTGGTGTGGTCCCGGATGACTGGAGGAAGGGCCACATCACTCCCCCCAGAAAGGGAGCAAGGAGGACCCAGGGAACTACAGGCCAGTGAGTCTCACCTCTGTGCCATGGAAGATCATGGAACAGATCCTCCTGGATGACATGCTTGATCACAGGTGGAATGAGCATGTGATCTCAGACAGCCAACACAGCTTCACCAGGGGAAGGTCATGCTTAACCAATCTAGTGGCCTTCTATGATGGAGTGATGACATTGGTGGACAAGGGAAAGGTGACCAATGTCATTTACCTGGACTTGAACAAGGCCTTTGACATGGTCCCTCACCACATCCTTATCTCCTAACTGGAGGAATGTGGATTTGATGGGTGGACCACTTGATGGATAAGAAACTGTTTGAAAGGCCACAGATAGAAGGTGACCTCTATTTCCAGGTGGAGGCCGGTAATGAGCAGCGCTAGGGGTCTGTCTTGGGACCAGTGCTCTTTAACATCGTTATCAGTGACATTGACACTGGAATAGAGTGCACCCTCAGCAAGTTTGCTGATGACACCAAGCTGAGTGGTGCAGTTGACAGAGTGGAAGGAAGGGATGCCATTCAGAGGGACCTCAGCAGCCTAGAAAGGTGGGCCTGGATGAACCTCATGAGGTTCAATACAGCAAAGTGCAAGGTTTTGCACTTGGACTGGAGGAATCCCAGGCATCTATACAGACTGGAAGGAGTTGTCCTTGATAGCAGCCTCTCAGGGAAGGACCTGGGGTCTTGATGGATGAAAAGCTTAACATGAGCCAGCTGTGTGCTCTTGCAGCTCAGAAAGCAAATGGTATCCTGGGCTCCATCAGAAGAGGATGGGGCCCTGGGCAGCCTATTAGGTCTAGTATTAAATGGGAATGTTGGTGGCCCTGCCTGTGTCAGGGGGGTTGGAGATTCATGATCCTTGAGGTCCCTTCCAACCCTGGCCATTCTGTGAAACTAAATAATCTTTTGATTATTTGATAAATACAGATATCTCTTATTTCAAATGCTGTGAAAATAAACCTGAATATTCTCACCAATCTTTTCAAGTTTTAGTTTCTTTCCCTGTCTTGTATTTTCTTAAATATTCATACATCATAAAAAAAGTGTCTTAATCTTCTTTATATTCTTGTGATCTAACAAGTACAATGTAAATCCTTATTAATACTGATGAATGGGATATGATAGCTACAGAAACCTAAATTTTGCATTATCATTTACCTATCTGGAAAAATGTGTTAGATTTTTAAAACATTTTTTTTTCCTTACCTAAACCATGCCTGTGTGTTGACATTGGTGGTAACACAGTCCAAGCCTTTGTCTTTGGATTGTAACATTCAACAGTGTTCAATGTCTTTAAACCATCGCGGCCTCCAATGACAAACAGCTTGTCATCGATGACCGCAACACCGAATTGAAGCCTTCTGCCATTCATCACTCCAGCCTGGATCCATATATTTGTTCTGAGATCATACTTTTCAATAGTTGTAGCACCTGATGAGACATAATAATAGGATAATGTATATAAAATTGGCTACCTTTTTTTGTCTATTACAATTTTTGTTATGAAATTGAAAAAACAAACAACTAAATCATCCCTCCAGTATCAAAATATTGTAAGCCTGAATAACAGTATGTTTTACCCTTATGATCTTCTACATTTTAGCAGTATAACTATCTGAGATAACTGATTTTGTTACATAGGAAATTTTAGCAAAATATTTAAAGAACATTTTCTTCTGAACTTAGTAATTTGATTTACAGGTTCACAGGCGAGTTCTAAAGATATACATAAAATAACTTATCAGTTAATCACAAAAGTAACTTTTAACATTAAATATTAAATACAAAATTAAGTTTATTAACAAAACCCAGAGAGATTAAAGAGCTTGTGTAGATCTCAGAAAGTGAATAAATAATACATCCTATTTTCTGAATAAAATTATGGGAATCACAGAATCACTCTGTTCCATCCCCCTGCTGGCTGAGTTGCCAGCTACCAGATCAGGCTGCCCAGGGCCCCATGCAACCTGGCCTTGAACACCACCAGGGACAGGGCACCCAGAGCTTCTCTGGGCAGCCTGTTGTACTCTCTCACCAGTCCCTGAGTAATGACTTTCCTCCTAATTCTCCCCTAGGAGAATTAGGGAAATACATAGCTAATGGTGGTGACTGTTGAAAAATGGTGTTTTGTAGCTGAGAATTTGATCTATCTAATAGTGTTATTATGTTCTTTGCATCTATTGTAGTTTCCATGGAAGTAAATAGGATACATTACTTCTGGAGCAACTTATGTGCAATTCAACCAGATATATTAAATCCCTCTCTAGTTTAATGATACCATAAGTTATATAAACAAATTTTTACACTTGATTAACAAAGGCAAGTTTATTTATCTATTTGCCTCTAATTTAAAATTGATTTGTGCAAATGTATTAATCCTTGGCTTTGAAGGAGCAAAAATGCACACTTTTTGTACAGTGCTGCAGGGTATATTATAGGTATATTATAGGTGAGATATTAATATAGCTATTTTATAATGCTTTAAGTTTTTATATGCTGAATGTATTAATGTTAAATCTGGAACTGTAACAAATATATGCTATAATGCAGTCTACCTTAATGCTTTAATGCCATTTAAAAGATTTGTCATTCTGATTTCACAAAATATTACTAATACAACAAATACAATCTTTGATTTATGCTCAGCTATATATTTTATCATATTGGTTGAGTCTGAGTTTGGCACAATGCATTATTAAGTTCCATACTCAACTCCTAATCCAGAAGAGTTCCTAGATATGTTAACTCAGTTTATGCAGTATGACATTTTGCCTATCTGGGGAAAAATAAATAAATAAATAAAATCTATCAAAAC